TCCCTACCTGTAAGGAACCCTGTGACTTCAATCAGATGGTGTTTTCTTACCCCTCGGGTCTTTTGAAATTGTAGCTACACAAAACTAGCATGTTTCAGTGAGAGTTGTAATTAGATGCATGTGTTACATTTTCCAGAGCAGCATAGCATAGGAGAGATATTCACTGCAGAATGAACTGCTTCCATTGCGCCTGGGAAAATTGTAATCTGTTTACATTGGCCTTAAGAGATTTCCAAAGCCCAAATGACTTGAGTAATCTTTGCAAATTTAGCCATGTTGTTGAACGACTGATAGATAGCCTTGATAGACTTCATGCCTTAGAGCAATTACTGTGGATTTTCGGGTTTTAAAGCAGGAGTGAGTTTAGTTTACCAACTTGTAATACTGCTTGCTGTTTTACAAGAAGTGACTGAGGTGTTCTGTTTACACAGAAATGCTGGGTTAGATTGAATGAGAGGCTTGTGTCTCAAAGGACAACATATGCTAAATTAACGTGATGGACTGATAACATTTTCCAATATGCTTTTAAATTAGCACCACAGGACTCAGGACAGGGCTCAATGGGTGGTGCTACTGCTGACTCAGTGGCAGTGGTACTCTCACTCCCACTCTATGCTAAGTCAACACAGCAGCACACAAAAAGACTTATATTTGTATTAATAATATCCTTCCTGTGGGAAGTAAACCAGTAGGCGATTTCAGTGTAGTCATTCGTGTTTCCATTTGCTCAGGCCAAATTTTGGCAGGACATCAGTGCCCTGGTCAGATCTCAGCTATGTAAATGCATTCTGTTTTCCTCCAGGTTCAGTGTAACTTAGCACAAGTAATTGTGACTTTACTACATAGTGTGTTGCACTGTTCATTAGCACCTGAGTTCAGGAGTAGGTGAAATACTTGATGTCAAAACAGGACATTGTAAAGTGCTCTATAAATGCTCTTGAGTGTCTTGAGAGAAAGACTTTCTGTCATTAAAAATGGTAGCTTTTGCTTTCACACAGTATTTTATGATACAGCTTTCCATGGCTGGTTTTTGTGTTCATTGATAGCTTATTCTAGCTATCAACTTTGTATAGCAATTGGAAATCTGGTTTAATTAAAACCTAACATGTTCTACACATGAGGTAGATCAAAGGAAAAAGAGATTTTTGAAGGAAAGCCATTCAGTTTCCCTGACATCTTCAAATATTTTTTTTATCAGTATAAGCACTGTTTATTTACTTAAGAAGGAAGAATTTCTGGTTCAGCCAGCAGAGCACTCTATTCAAGTTCTTGGCTCAGCAAGAGCAGGCCAGTAGATTTTAAACATGAAAGGTTTTTAAATGTCAAATGTCCCCACACCTTTAAAAGGACTTCAGGAGATACATGAGGCATGGGGACTTTCTTAGGCACTTTTCTGTGCTAAGGAGGACTCTCTTCTGGGTGACACTTCTGTCAAAGGGTAATTGAGTGCACAGCATGAGCTTTTCCTAACCTTTTCAACTAAAAAACCCCAAACATTTATATGCATCACCTAGACTGGTTGTAACAGATTCTGGCTTGCACTGTAACGGATTTTTATGTAGGATAAGTTTGTATCATCCTGGAATATCAAATAGTATTTAAGACAGATTAGTTCTTTGGGTATCTTTTTTTCCCTTTAAAGCTTTGGTTGAGAATACACGTCTTTATTTTGAAACAGAGTAGATAGCTATCTATTGTGTACCTCCTACGAGTAAGTTTGCAAGCCTTCCCTTGCCAAGCAATCCTTGCTGACATACACTTAACAGTGTTTAAAACCTCATGTTGCCAGAGGGTGTGGTGAGGTTCCTGTATAAATATTACTGAGGCATTTTGCTCCACACCTGCAGAAAGCAAAGGTGTGGTGAAATTCGACAGTAATGGCACAGTTCATCATACTTTACTATTACGTCTACATGCTTTGGCTTAAACACTGTAATTAATAAAGGCAGTGTTTGTCCTGAGAAATTCAGCTCTGTTAAGAAGCACACCACTTCTGAGAAAGGACTGATCTCTTTATCTGAAAGAGATAGTTTATCCGTTAATGAATATGCTCACTGTTTTCACATATGCAAGGGTGCAGGTTTCCTTTGAATGACTCAGGCGGTTAGAATTTTTGAAGTATCCCAGGTGGTGGTTAACACCAAAAATATGAAGAGTGGCCTGAATTTCTCAGTCATGATACACAGCACTGCATTATGAGTAATGACGTATGTGTGGCTTGTATGCACTTTAGCCGAAACTTGTCATTTGTGTCAAGAAGTGTCTCAAAGGTGTAACTGTACGTCAACTGCACAACTACTGAATCAGAAAGCTGATCCCTGCTTTGTGTTAATGGGAGTTTCCTGGGCTACAATGTAAGTTGTGCCATGTTGTGGGATGAAGAATGTGAACATCAAGTCAATGTGCCCGCAAAACACATTTCTAAACAAGAGTGCATCCTAAGCAGGAGCTTTGTGCTGATGTGCAAGGTCATGGTAGAGAGGAAGGGCTGTCTTTTAATAAACCCATTTAAACATTTGCTATTTTTCCATACAGCTCAACTGCAAATATTCTTGCCTGGAGCAATGACCAGGGGTTTCACAAGGCAG